TTCTTTTCATCATTCCCAGCATAACAAATAGCGTCAAAGAGCGAAAAACGACTTATATGAAAAGGTGCGGGTTGAATTTTATGATCAATTTTCATTGACATCTGGACAAAGTTACACCCATCAATTGTACCCTTAGCTGATTTCACCCATTACCCAAGCTCACCTTCAGTCGAGAGCTCAATATGCTGATAAGACTCCCAGTCGTATCACGACGGAACCCTTCGAGAGAAACAGCACGGGACCTTGTGCCTACTTTGTAGGCCAAGCTATACAAGCTACTACATGTACTGTCTCCCGCTACATGTCAAAACAACCTGAACCTGTTTCTCTAAAACAGCGACGGCGCACAAAGCATTATTGCAAAATTATCGGATATCGTTACGGACACTAGCACTCTGATTTCTGAAGCGTGGCGAAGAAAGGCGAAATGTGCCCATCCTGTGTGTGAGATAAATTAGCCTGGCTTCATTTTCTACAATATCTACAATATTTTGCGAGTAGCGATGCTATTTACATTGCCTTGAAAACTCCGCTCATAATTTACCAACCAATTGGATGTGTCTGAAGGCTTTACAACCATACATATAAATTTGTAAAGCGTAAAGTGGTCGGCAATCTGTTCGTTCAGCGAGGCGCTGACGCAAGACCCGCGGCGCCGGTCACCGGAAAAGCTGCTGAATGCTGGTACTTACATCCCTAGACAAATTAGCTCTCCAAAGATAGTAGCCACAGTCGGAACTCAAGAACAACTGAGATTGAAGTTTTAACGTCACAACAATTGTTAGTAATGAATAATTTCGTTTAAGCGTTCATACAGGCAAAAATAGGTATTGAATACGCTGCACTTCTACGTAAATGGCATATCCCTTGCACATTTCAAGACGTGCATTTACAGTTGTTTTATGTTTTATGAGCAAAATAACTAATCATCATAAAGCATTTCGGACTCATCTCGACTTGAAATGTTGGATAACCCAACAGCTGATTATTTCACCACTGTTTGTATTAGTCTCGTAATTGAATGTCAACATGTCTCCAGAAGTCATCCTGGGATGATTACCTGTGCTGCTACATCAGCCGTGGTGCATAAAATGTCCGTTGACCCGAGCGCTCCGCGCCTGATCGGAGTCCGTGACGACCTCTGGCCGCGCCGCCCGGCCGCGGCCGCCCCGATATAGATTGGCCCACCAGGTTGGTGAGAATTATGGCTCCCAGTGTGGCCCTGAGGCGGCACCTGAGTCGCCGGGGAGTCCTGAAGTTGGCCCATCAAACGGCGCCGGCCGTTCTCGGCTCCAGTTGGTGACTTACCAGCTGCGCTGCCTCTGTGAGATCGTCGGTAACGATCCCTGTTGTATTGTAATTCACCAGATAAGAGACGAGTCAGCGTAAAGCGCACAACACAGCAAAACAAGTGGAGTGGGGGCGGGTCTGAGCTCTCCTAGCCTGGGAACCAGTGCGGATCGCTGGAATCTTCACAATAGGTCTGGGTTATTGGATACCGCCTTATTTTCGTTACTGAAAACAAAGTGAAATGTACTTCTCAGTGCTCGTATTGGCCACGATTAGCCATCTTCTGAGGACCTTTCACTCTGTTCGGTGTGTCACTGATCTCTTCCATCACCCATCTCAACCATCTTGCTGTTAACCCGCGACCGCCTGGGGGGGGGGTCGGATCCGACCCCCCCCCTCCGTTTTTCTTGAATAACTCATGAACCACTCTCGTTATCTACTTGAAACTTGGCATACCTTCTTCCCTATCAATTTGACGTCTCCTGTGCAATTTTGAAAAAAAAATCCAATTTTTTTTTGAGATATATCGATTTTAGTGATGTAACTACATGGCGTTTTTAGTCAAAAAGTGGTAAATGTTTAAAAAATCGCCAAAAATCAGAGTTTAAAACAAATTGCGAATTAAGGACATGAAAAGACGCAACTCAACGAGTTCTTCAAAATGACTATCTCAGATTTTCCATAAAATGCGTTTTTCACCCCTAAAAATTCAAAAAACTATATTTTTGGAAAACAGCTAATAAAATCCAAAATTTTGGGATTTTCCAAAAAACCGGAATATATGTTGTAGAGCTCTATTAGAAAATTGGATGTCCCAAATTTCAACTTTCTATCTTGATTTTTGACCCCCAAATTGTAAAAAATAGCTCCAACATGCATAGGGCAGGGTGACGTCATAAGCATTTTCGTGAATTACAGGCATTTCTGAACATCGCATGTGAAAACAAATGGCACCACTAGATTCCTGGGACAAAGCTCGTCTAGAAATGTGCATTTTTATGTCAAAAATAAAAAGTTGAAAAATTGACTTTTTTTCTTAGCCCTCGTTTAGTTATGTATGGTATAAACGATTTTTTTATGCTTTCAATGCACACTTATCACCAGCACAGTGACTTGGGATCACATATAACCATTACCATCGGATTCGGCGTGAAAAATAAGCCATAAAACATGTGTCGCACGCCCATGTAGCAGAAAGTGAAAACCGTGACCTTTCGTGACCTGACTTGACCTTGACCCGTACTTAGTGTGGTAGATTGTCACACAGCCTCTGGGCTGGCGTGCCTGGGTGCGCCACTGGCCGCCCTATCCGTCGTCCCTGAGAGCGGGCTTGCGCTCGCTCGACCTATAGCCCGGGGCGCCCAGCTGTGCGGTGTGGGTTGAGTCGGGTCAGCTGATCGAGTGAGAATACAGTTCTGACCGGTGATCGGAGGAGTGTGGTGCTGTGGTGCCGAGCTTAGTTCACGCTATAACATTGGCGACGAGGTATTTGAACAGAAGAAATTGAAAAGCCGGTGGGCAGAGTAGAGCCATTTAATGTGGAGGAAGAGAACTGGGAAGAATATGTCGAACGTATGGAAGAGTATTTTGTGGCAAATGATATCACAGACGAGGCCAAGAAACGTTCGACTCTGCTCTGCAACATCGGATCCAAGGCATACGGTATCGTACGATCGCTGCTATCCCCTGTTAAACCGGCGAGTTCAACGTATCAGCTGATTGTGGAGAAATTAACGACCCATTATCACCCCAAGCCGTCGGTAACCGTCGCACGGTTTCGATTTTTTCATGCTACCGTCTACCAGGAGAATCGATACAAACGTATATCGCTCGTCTCAGACAGTTCGCTGGTGATTGTCAGTTCGGTACATTTCTAGAAGAGATGATTCGTGACCGACTCGTATGTGGTGTGAAGTCTGACTTGATCCAGTTCAGGCTGTTGTCAGAACCCGAGTTGTCTCTGAAGAAAGCGACAGAGATGGCGGTAGCCATGGAGACAGCCGGTCGGAATCTGCAGGAGCTGTCGGGAGCGGAGGCGGCCGATCCGCCGCGACAAGAGGTGCAGCAGATTCGGTCACAGCAGCGGAGCCGGCCGACCGCAGCGGGGCCAGCGACACCGCAGCGAGCTCCAAGGGGCCCAGCTCAGCAGGCTGGCATGACACATCACACAAGTAAGGCCTTGGAGGGCGGGAAAGATAAGTGCTGGAGGTGTTTGAGTAACCGGCATGCGGAAGAGGACTGTTATTTTCGCCGAAAGAGATGCTTTCAATGTTTTCGTTATGGACACACCAGTGCAGCCCACCGAGCTGGCACGGTGAACAGTGTGGGGATGTTACCCGAGTCTGAGTCACAGGAGGATGCCGAGGGTGGACTGGAGATGGAAGTAGAGACTGGTGAGGTTGACGCTCTGGTTAGCGATCTGTTCACATGTGCAGAGGAGCGGCCGAGTCCGGTGAAGCCTCCTATCAAGGTCGACGTCAGCATCAACGGTCAGTCGGTGCAGATGGAGCTGGACACCGGCGCCGCCGTCTCCGTCTGCACGTACCGCCGCTTCAAGGAGCTCTGGCCGGACGGAGACAGGCTGCTGCAGCCGAGCAGCCGTCTGCTTCGCACGTTCTCCGGTGAGAAGCTCTCAGTCCGAGGTGAGGCGTGGGTGAACGTGCTGTATCAGGGTGTCAGTCATCGATTGCCATTGACTGTGGTGGAGAGTAACGGTCCGATGTTACTAGGCCGTAACTGGTTGGGAGAGATCAAGTTGGACTGGCACAATATTTTTGCGATGACTCTGAGTCCAGCCATGGGAACACTGCTCGAAAAATACTCCGAGCTATTAAAGGACGATCTGGGCTGTGCGAGGGATGTAGAGCTCAACATTCCAGTGGATCCAGCCGTGAAGCCCATCTTCTACAAGCCTCGGACGGTGCCACTCGCCTACCGGGAGAAGGTGGACGCCGAGTTGGAGCGGCAGATCAAGGAGGGTTTGTTGGTGCCGGTCAAGTGGAACGACTGGGCGACGCCCATCGTGACCTGCCAGAAGGCCTCAGGTGAGATCAGAATCGCAGCAGACTATCGTCTCACAGTAAACAAGGTCACGCCGTTAGAAAAGTATCCTCTGCCAAAAGTAGACGAGATGTTCAGTAAACTGCAAGGTGCGACAGTGTACAGTCAGATAGATTTGAAAAATGCGTACAATCATCTGCCATTAGAGGAGAAGAGTCGCAAATATTTGGCCATAAACACACACACAAGGGCTTGTTGGTGCCAACCAGACTGGGATATGGGTACGCAAGTGCTCCGGCCATCTTTCAGCGTTACATGGAAAATCTCTTGGCTGGAATACCAGGGGTGGGAGTGTTCCTGGATGATGTCATGATCTCTGGAAAAACCCCACAGGACCACCAGAACTCGCTGGAGGTGGTGCTACAGCGGCTGGTGGCGGCCAACCTGCGCCTGCAAAAGAAGAAGTGCAAGTTTGGAGTGTCATCTATCACCTACCTGGGACACCGCATCAGCGCAGACGGCGTGAGTTCGACCGACGACAAGGTCAGTGCTATCAAAAACGCACCCGCTCCGAAAAACTTGAAGGAGCTTCAGGCCTGGCTAGGGTTGATCAATTATTATGCCAAGTTTGTGAGAAATCTGTCCACCGTGCTGGCACCACTGTACTGCCTGCTCAAAAAGGGAGAACCCTGGCAGTGGGGACCCGATCAGAAGAGCGCGTGGCTGGCAGGGAAGAGCCTGCTGCAGTCTACGCAGGTGCTGGCTCATTTTGACGAGACGGCACCGATCGTGCTGTCTTGTGATGCCTCTCCCTACGGGGTTGGGTGTGTCTTGAGCGTGGTTGACAAGCGCCTGGGAGAGAGGCCGGTAGCCTTCTACTCGAAATCGCTCACAGACACGCAGAAACGATATTCACAGACGGACCGGGAAGGATTGGCGGTGATTCTGGGGGTCCGCCGCTTTCATCATTGGTTGGCAGGTCGGAAATTTGTTATCCGGACCGATCATAAGCCCCTCCTGGGCATGCTGGGGGAGAATAAGCCGCTGTCCATGATGGCTTCACCGCGAGTGACTCGATGGGCAATGTTGTTGTCGGGCTATCAGTACAAGCTAGAGTATGTACCAGGATCGAGACAGGGACATTGCGATGGTCTCAGCCGTTTGCCTCTTCCGACAGCTGCTGGAGACTTGCCAGAGCCCGGCGAGACTCTGCACCTGGTGGAGATGATGGACGCTTCGCCAGTGACCGCCGCTGTGGTTCGACTGGCGACTGAACGTGACGCCACCCTCAGCAGAGTGCTGCAGTACACCCGAGACGGCTGGCCTGAGGACAAGAGCGGCGAGTCACCGGAGTTAAGTGCATATCGCATGAAGCAAGGTGAGCTCAGCATCCAGAACGGATGTCTCTTGTGGGGAGCTCGAGTCGTCATTCCAGTCAAGTTGCGGGAGAGGGTGCTACAGATGTTGCATGACGGTCATATGGGAGAGAGCCATACCAAGGGGTTTGCAAGAATGTACGTGTGGTGGCCAAACCTAGATTTTGACATAACCCAGATGGTTAAGGCGTGTGTGACCTGTCAACAATACCACCACCAAGCGCCCGTCACGCCACTGAGTCCGTGGTCCCTCCCGTCCCGGCCATATGAGCGGGTGCACATTGACTACTGTGGCCCAGTGGAGGGGAAAATGCTGCTCATTGTAGTGGATGCATATACCAAGTGGATTGACGTACATGTAACAACTAGGGCAACAACCGAGGTTACTATGGAGGAGCTGTGGAAAACGTTTGCATACTGGGGAATTCCCAAGTTCTTGGTATCAGACAATGCTCAGTGTTTTGTGGCACCAGCGTTCCAACCATTCTGTACTCAGAATGGTATCACACACCTGCGCACTGCGCCGTTGTCTCCAAAAAGCAACGGTCTGGCTGAGCGGGCAGTGCAGACGGTGAAGCAGGGTCTGAGGAAACAGGGGAATGGAACGCTGCACACCAAGCTGGCAAGGGTGCTGTTCACCTACCGTTCATCTCCCCACAGCACTACCGGAGTGACGCCAGCAGAGCTAATGACCGGGCGGCGCATGAGAACTCGTCTCGACTGTATGCTTCCCAGTCTACAGGATCGTGTTGTCAGCTCGCAGTGGAAGATAAAGGAGCGGTATGACAGACAGGCACAGCAGCGGACCATACTACCAGGAATGTCTGTCCTCGTTTCACAGGTGTCGGGACTGGCCGGCGTCGGCAGGACAACACGCTGGCTACCCGGACACTGCATCAACATCTCGGGACTCAAGCTCACGGTCCGGCTGGACGACGGACGAATCCTCCAGCGCCATCTGGACCAGGTGGTCCCGAGAGCGGTCGCCGGGAGCCAGGCCGTCCGACAGCCGACGGACTGGACGGCGGCGCCGCGGCCTCCTCAAACGCCGCCGACGTCGCTGCCGACAACTCCAACGTCGCAGGCGACGCCTTCGCCGCCGACGCCCTCACCGCCGACGCCTTCACCGCCGACTCCCACGCCGCTTCCGCCACCGCTAGCGGAATGTCCGGAACGGGAGAGGCCTTCGTTTCCCTCCCCAGTGGGGCGGCCGGCTCGTGGGTTGGAGGGACGGGGTGAGCTCAACTCGCGATTGAAGTGTGACGTCCAATTGTCGCGTGGCGAGAGTGTTGAGTGTCGCGAGCCTGTGTCAGCGCCGCAGGTACCGCGCTATAACCTGATACCGAGAAAATAGTTGTTAACTAGGGGGGAGGAATGTGGTAGATTGTCACACAGCCTCTGGGCTGGCGTGCCTGGGTGCGCCACTGGCCGCCCTATCCGTCGTCCCTGAGAGCGGGCTTGCGCTCGCTCGACCTATAGCCCGGGGCGCCCAGCTGTGCGGTGTGGGTTGAGTCGGGTCAGCTGATCGAGTGAGAATACAGTTCTGACCGGTGATCGGAGGAGTGTGGTGCTGTGGTGCCGAGCTTAGTTCACGCTATAACACTTAGTATGACCCCTATACGTAAGTACATGGTACCTTCACTACGCCTTTGAGGTCATTTTTGGTGAGTTTCGAGCAGCAGCTATCGATTCCGCTGTCCGTAAGCCATATCATGCAAAACCCCTGAATTTGACCTTTGACCTGACCTTGACCCGAAAGTTGACTTCAATCTTAAAATCTTAAGAGTGCTTTGGGAAGGTCTCGTAGAGACCTTTCGAACGCCGCCTCGCGGGGCTCGATACGACCATTGGTTCTCGAGATAACAGGGGGGGGGTCGTATCCGACCCTCCCAGGCTGTCGTGGGTACGGAAATAGCCCAGGCGGTGCCGGGTTAAAGGGACCTTCCCACCTTCAAAAAGTTAATGTGGCATGAAAGTGACTTCGCTCGGTTCAGAAAGACCGAAAACGAATATCTACCAAATTGCATCGAAAAACATTCACTGGTTTTCAAGATATTATACTTTTAATTTTGTTTACTTTTTGGATCTCCGCTGTTCCTAGCGACTTTAATTGAAAGTGCGGCACTTACTGCGCGCAAAGCAGCGTATACCACCGCGTGATACCAAACGTTTTAGTAAAATATTTTAAATTGTTAGATATGTGCTGACGTCATACATCCAGAGGGGCATTCTAATGCATTAGCCCCTCTGAATCCAAGTGCCGCAACTTTAAAATTATATATTTTCGATTTGAGGCATTTCTCGATCTTGTGAGTGCTCAAACCGATAAGTGCATGCTAGGGACCCCATTTTGGCTATCTCAACTAAAAACTAATGTTAAAATGGGATGGTCACTTTAATGATCATATGGTATAGCGCAGAAAATATATTTCATTCGACCTCCGTCACATTCATGGACAGTAGACGCACCACTTTCCTGCAAAATACAAATGAGCTAAACAATTAAACACGCATTCACCCGGACTTCAAATGCCTTTATCGAATTCATTCAGGCAGGGCTATAATAGATGGGCTGTATTCATATTCAAAGCAATTCTAATTCATATTCATTGAATATTATCATTAGCGTGGTTTTCTAATTCATTTCGTGTTGATGAAGAAGAGAACACTTTTACAAACAACAACATTTAGAAGGCTATGTTTCGATTGGTCACGTTTAACTAGGTACCTATCATATTTTTAATTTATTGTTTACAAATAAAGCAACGGCTTTTTATAAAGTAGCCTTGGGTGCTGATAAAGGATTCAGACAGGTTATACGCTTTGCCTACCGACAATATATTGCTAGAAAGCCCCCAGCCCGACATTGCTCAAGCTGGCAATACAGACGCGGTAACCGAATAACGCAGAGGGCACTGGACTTTCTGCTCATCCGGTAATCAATCTTGTCTGTGAACTTCACCAGCGCACTCGTGTACTACACCCACGACCTTACCGCCCAACAGCGGAAAATCCTAGTGGTCTTTCCGACTCAAATGGGACGGAAACTCTCCTCGGCTGTCCATGGTCCATTGCAGTGCGATGACCACCCGCTGTCAGAATATTCCACGCGTGACATTTGGACCCAATCGGACGGCGTACCTGAACGCGCACGAGTGGGGTGATAATGCCAAGTTTCATCACCATTTCGCGGTGTATGTCGTCCTGAGAGAGGCCACAGTTGGCGGGTACTGAACATCCACTGAGAGGGCAGAGAGGTCATCGAGAATCATCGCGGCATAGAGGCGGGTTTCTTGTTCTGGTGGGCTAGTACATACCACAAAGTTGATTGTTAAATTTTAATGAAACGGGATACACGGTGTCGATTATAAGCATTTTTAACAGTGATATCGTGGACCAAATTGTTTATTTATGTTTTATGCTGTCCCTTATTTGTTGAAGTCGGTTTTGAACACTTACGATTGAAAGTTCCCAGCACCTAATACCAAATAAAAAGTTTAAGGATACAAGCGTTTTGCTGCAATTGAAATGAAATTGTCCATGATGGTCACGCCAAAGGGTATGTCAGCCCTCGAAACACAATGCCGATTTTACATCATTCCAACGTTTCATTTTCCTCTCTTGAAAACACATGTCGGTGAATCTCTGAACCGATGAGACCCGCTTGCCACAGCACGTGCCAGAGTGTCAATCTAAAAAGACGAGTCCAGTGCCAGGCGACATGCTCCCACTAAAAATAGGTACTTCAAACGCTGATTAAACTATTACTTTTGCACTGGCCCACGCTTGTTACATCCACAACATGGCTGCCTTCCATAAAATACCAATGCGTCTCGGTCTGTTTCACACAATGTCTCCCGGCTGTGGCGCGCCCGGCAGTGCGAGTGCCCGCCGGCCGCCGCGTCGGCCGACGCCAGTCACGTCTGCAAGTAACAGTTGCGTGGGAGGTCACAGACGGGCCTGATTGGCGCGCGCTGAGAGGGCGCTGCGTCTCGTCCACAGCGACACCCTTAGTGGGCCAACACGAGCGCAACTGCCGGCCTGTCTCAACACGGCGCCGCCTCGTCCGCGGCGGGCTGCAGTTAGCGGGACGAGTTGGTGCCAGTGTCGTCACCATCACTCCCCGCGGTGCCGGTGCTGTCGGCTTTAGCGGGCCAAGTTGGGAGCGGGCCGTTCGCGTCCGCAGCCGTCTGGGCCCAAACGAGACCAGCCCAGACGAGGAGCGACCCATTGTTGAGGCCGGCCGGAGACGGCGCCATTGATCCAGGTGTGAAAGCGGCGGAGAATTCAGCTCGGCGTCGCAGCTAAAATCGACATGGTCCGCCCGCACACCTGTTGATTCTACCTGTTGGTGTCTTTACCACTGACGCTCCCTGCCAGAAATAAATACAAATCGAAATTACCTCGGAAAATTGCATACCACTTGATTGAATTATTTTCACCAAATGGTCGTTTGAAACTCCTAACACTTGTATACATCCCTTCGCGGTGCGCTCCAGCTGTATCGTCAGCACTCAGCACATACATCACTCGGTGCTTCGCTCCAGCCAGCTGCAGCATGGATGCTGGAAGAGCGTCAATGGAGAGTTTTGTGCGTTTCTCTGGTAACTGTATAGTAGATTCGCCACAGCTAGCGTCGATAAGTTCATTCTATTCACGCTATCTTCTAGCCTTATATCTACAAATGCAGAGGCAAACAAAAGCAAACCAGTCACTGAATTGGCTATGCACACGTCAAGGATGTATGCCGTGATGCACTAGGGTAGAACAAGGATCTAATACAAATAAAACGGTTTAAAAATAGACGTAATTATTCGCTCCATTTGCAGAATCTACCCAGTCCTTGTTGACAGACGACCTACAAGCATTAGGCACCCATCTTTTCCGCGCAAAGTGTGCTTGTAGCGTTAAGTCATCTAAGTCAGAGAATGATTCCGTAGAGTTCGTTTCTTTTGACTGTTTTGATGACAAATTCAAATTATTCTCACAAAGCTTGTTTACAACGATTTCCAAAAACATTGCTGGCAGCAAAACTTTCGGGGAAAGATGTCTGTTATCAATTTATTTGTGCAATCGGACTACCAGATCACCAGAGCATTTCAAGCGATATCGCTTTCTTGAAACTGTACGCTTGCAACACAGTGTGGCCAAGGCAACCGATTGAGGGGGTGTTCTAGCCCCCCCCCCCCGGCAGGACATAATTTTGGAAACTCGGATGGTTTGTAGGTTAATATATGCAACCCCATTTACCGTAGTAGTTTTCGATTGAAGCATTTATATCCCTCGCCCGTAAACGGCGATCTGCCACCTTCGCCCATGCAGGGGGGGGGTTGGTGCGACCCCCCCCCCCTTGGCGTTTGAAAACGGAGCGTCGTAGAGCTTAGCGGAAAAGACCAACGGATTGCTCTCGCCGAGATCTCGCGATTGGTGGTATATTTTTTGGTCCTAGGTCAACATTTGACCTACTTTTGACCGGTCAAAGGTCAAATTTTCGGAAAAATAGACTTTTTTCAACTTTCCGCGGCGATTGCGGCAAAATGGTGGAAGATATCGACTTGAAACCTTCACTATCGTGTTCCTTGATCAATTCTCTATCGTTTGGTATGTATTTCGTTTCCCTAGCTCTAAAAATGGCGCGTTGGGAGCGCCGGAAGTCGGCAAGGTCACAGTCGGCGGCAGAAATTCGAAAAATCAAAATTTAAATTTTTGAAATCTGATTGTATTTTTGGATTTGGGAGGCCCATTTGCTCCCTATAGAAGCTAATATTGCTGCATATTCCCATTGAGGTGACAAGAATTAGCAAAATAGTGGTTCAGGCGCTTTTCAAAAATAGTACCGGACGCTGTTCCTCTTGTGACGTCATAGCTCCGTGACCTGACCTGACCCGGTCAAGTTTCTTATACCATATGATAGCCAATACTTGCCCCAACATGCATGGGAAGTTTCATCACGATCCATCAACCGATGTCCGTACCACCGGCAGGAAACCTCGGGCGTTGGCACTCAGTTTGTGAAAATCCGGCCGGAGGCTGTTCCCTTTGTGACGTCATAACTCCTACACCTGACATGACCCGGTCAAATTTTTTTTTATCAAAAGATGCGCAAGGTTTGCCCCATAAGGTACCCAAAATTTGGCGGCGCTGCGCGCCGCCGTTTTTGCACTATTTCCGAAAAACCTCAGGGGGGGGGGTTGCACCAACCCCCCCCCCTACATGGGCGAGGGATATATTTCATTATTGAAAATTTATGGCACTACGGTTGCAAGAAGGATCCTCACCAAAAATAGCCCCAGCCTGCGGGCATTGAATGCATCACCTTGACTATCCCTCAAGGCAACATTGGGAGCGGCGGGGGCGGGCCTGCCTTTGAAGATGGTCGAGCGAGAGTGGATCCCTTTCATCACCTTCACAACCAGCGCTCGGTTCAACTCCCAGACTGCCTCAGCGCGGGCCTGCGGGACCGGTGGCCACCCCCGCTAGGCTGGGGACTATACCTGGGGAGATGAGGTGTCTTGGTAACAATGAGC